CATGACCTCTCTCCTAACTTTCCAATGGAATTTAGGCAGTGCGGATGTACCTGTCTCTAATGTCAACTAACTGCACTGGCAAACATTCATTTTCGCAATTGAAACGCATTAAAGACGTTAAGCATTCAACCATGTCTCAGCAGAGGCTATGGATGCTAGCACGTCTCTCAATTGAAAGCAATTTACTGCACAACGTTGACATTAACAAAGTCGTTGATGAATTCGCTGTTGCAAAAGCACGCCAAGTGGCAATCTAGGTAAGAAATAATAATGCATAATGTTATTGTTGTGAGACCTTAGTTACATTATCTTACTGGTATGTTGTCCATATTCCATACTGTCATACGTTGGACTGGCTGACAGACAGACACACGCACAGACAGACCGCGCATTGGTGATATGTGTGTGTAGTTTTGAATTTGCAAGCAAGCGAGCGCGCGCGCGTGTGTGCGTGTGTGTGTGTGTAAAAGGGGTGGGGAGGGGAGGATTTTACACCATATCTAACTTTTTCAGGCCACTCAGTGAAGTGTGCCTTAGGGCCAGCTGGGTCTTAATCCGGCGCTGGCAGCATCTAAGACAGTGGTGGCAACAATAGGAATAACAGACGAAAAGAGTTACATGTACAGAAGAAAAGTTGAAACAAACAGATAACAGCAGCTGTAGTAACATATTCTTGTGGTTACATTGACAAAGAAAACAGGCAAATGACTACGACACTTGGAGCACGTGACAAACTCGTGTAGGTACGATTGCTTTAATGCCACTTGGTATCGCACTACAGTATAGTCTATAATAACGTCGTAAACATTGTGTACTTCCATAAATCAAGATACAACTGAAACAAAAATAAATTACCAGTAATAGTCACTGAACAATTTTGTTCCTTAAACATTACAAAACATAAAGCTATGCTGACAAACAACACGATACTGGCAGTAGCAATAAGCATTAATTACAATTTGAAAAACTGTCTCATGTATTAATAAACACGCTTATGTGGAATAGGCCTACCAACGATACATACAACTCTCGCAAAACAAATTAAGTGTATTAAATCAATTTCTTTTGGCAAATTCGTATAATATTTCAATAAGGCAAGATGTACAAAATACAAGCAACACAGAACTGACTACACGACAGTAACTGTTGTCAAGCTGTTAAACTGAAAGACGTCCCAAAAACAACATATTTCAGGAAAGAGAAAAATATGTTTTATTCTTTTAACTATTACAAGTAAATGTTCTTGTTTTTTCATTTTTTCAAAACTTAGAGTTTGAATTTCAACAAAATATGCTTTTGAGCATAATGATGCAACTGATTTCACGGATGAAGAAACTGCAATTTTAAAATATCAAAATTTGGGGCTTGTTACATTATTATACAGCTGTCCGATATAATACTTTGCTGATAGAAAATCATCGCGAGTATAAAAAGCACAAGATGAAGACACAAGAAAAACAAAACCAACAACTACAGTCAATAGCATTGAGCTAGTTCAAATGTAGGATTCCCTGTTGTTAATGTCTTGCATCCGTATTGACTCAATTTAGATCATAATTTGTTTGTGATACGGTCCATTTCATCACGCCTCTCAGATAGTACTTCGGCTGAGTGGGATATAAAAAAGTGATTTTGGATAAAAATAGATTTCCCAAAGCGGGAAGTAAGTCCCCAATAAAAAAGGGTGTGGTTTTTTTTTGTTGTAACATCAAGTGTTAAGATCTTTTTTTCATGTCGGTGTTTTTATATCCCCATCCCATCGACTCAGTTAAGACCATATTATAGGAGGCAGGCCTCCCACCAAATCTATCAGGGCCTATCCGGCCGAGAGGGTGACAACATCCCAGCAAAAGGCCTTAGATAGTCGATATAAAAAAGATCTCCCCACCCGGGTCTCCGGAGAGCGGCAGCAAAGCCCCTAACAGCGTTCTATAGACGCCGGTACACATGAAGTGTGTGACAGACCAACATTATTGAAACGGTCAATAATCAATTGTTCCTCAGCTGCTCTGTCAGATTAGAGAAGACAACCAAGTGCGCCTGGCGACACTACTCTATGGCTTCTTGGCTACATTCACTGGCCTCACACAGCCTTGTCGGGGCCTTGTCATGTAAAAAACAAAAAGCCACAGGAATTGAACTTCACATTCAATATTGAAAAAAACAAAAAAGCTGCTATTGCTGTAATTTCATGATGAACAAATGTTTGCCCAAATAAATATGATGCTGCAAAACATAATTTACGATTTTTGCTTCGACTTTTTTCCAAAACAGTAAACAAAAATCAAATGAATGAATGGTAACTTGTTTAACAAATAAACGGAATCAACCCTACCTTTTCTAAAGACAAGAAACGAAATTAGGGAGTAAAAGACACTGAAAATAATGTCCTTTGGCCTATTATTGCGTAGAAATCTTGGACTTTGCGACAATACGATTTTTTAAAATTCTTGAAATTTCCTAGTTGTAAAAGGACCACCTAGCACATTGTCTGTTTATAGATTAAGCTGAGAATCATTTTTCCTCATAAAAGTTCAAATGAGGAACGAACAGTGGGCGTACTGGTAGCTTGTTTGGTACCACTTTGAGTGATTGTGGTCATGGCCCTGGTTTCAACCTCCAACAAGATTTTCAATGAGTTATGTGGGAGTGTTTCACCCGACGACAGAATGTTTGATAGAAACGAAGGAGCAAACCACACCAGAGCACCCACCAATCACCCACACGGTTTTGAGTTTGATTGGCACCAACACAAATTAACTCCTTGCATAAATAAAAAGAAAAGCAGTTGGGTCAGCAGACTCGACGACGGAGGAAGACACATTCAGTACTGGGATCTCCGCGCCAATGGGGAGGTGGGGGAGGAAGGTGAGGACGCCCCGAAACTCTCACTACCGCTGCGACTGCCGTTACCATAACGACGGTAGTCGCTGTTGTTGCTATTATTGTTGTAGTTGTTGTTGTTGTTGTTGTTGTTATTGTGGTATACGTCATCGCTCCCTACACTCCCCACACTCCCACCCACGCTATTGACGCTAACTCCTCGCTCCCGTCGACCACCTGGACTTTCCACACCCTGACCTTGACTTTGGCTGGAGCCAGCCTTGACCCCTCCTCTACCCCCTCCTCCTCCTCCTCTTCCATCAGACAAGCCATCCGCACTGCTGTCATGACTTTCACTACTACTCAAGCAGCGGGGGCACCAGCAGGGGACCTTGAGCTTGACCTTCATGCTGTCGTAGCTGAAGATCTTGACCATCCCGTCCGACTGGACCAGCACCAGTTTGTTCTTGTGACTCATGGCTAGGGCCACTGGACGCCTCACGCCGCTCTCACGGCCCAGCACCAACCTGAAAGGGAAAAAAGTATATTATTGTAATTGTACGTATTTTACGTCACTATTGTAGCTACAGAAGGCTATAGAATCAACCATTGCTTGGAACCGTCATCATCTACACACTTCGAGATGTGCTTCTTGAGGGGACGGGGCGCTTATGGGGATGCCCCTTGTGCAGTAGAGCATTTCGATTGTTTGAAAAGGACCACACTTTTTAAAACAGAAAACGATTTAGGCCTACTGATTTTTTGGTGCAAGGTGAAGAGGAGCGGGGAGGAGGTTCATAAAGAGGAATAAGAAGAAACTGTAACTGAAAGGTGAATGGTAAAAGTGACACCAAAAGAGTATTAAAGTGAGAGCGAGGGGGGGGGGAGTAGTATA